TCTGAAAGCTACTGATTATCATCCATAACAACCACAATGTCTCAGTGTCACAAACCCTAATGTGGATTAAAAAGGTGCTTTAAAAACACCTGAATACTCCCAACTGAAAATAACTGCATGCCTCACTGTATCCTAGAAATTTCACACTCTCCCGGGACTAACAGAGTGTGGAGGACGTGGATGCAACTGTGTAGGAAAAGTAATGAACGCTGACCTTTTGTTATATATTCTGCCTCACTGATCAAAAAATGAGAAGCTGTGCCCAACAGCCAGTGCGACAAGCTAAAACAAATAATGCAATCATTTAATTGTGAATGGAAAAATCAATAATGTTTCTAAATTTAAATTTGCAGCTTCTCTTCCTGCATTAGAGGAATGCACTCATGAGAACATATGGGCTTAATACACATTATGACACAGATGATTACAGAATCCATCATCATTTGTGAAACTTCTACTATTCTACGCAGCTGCAGAAAACCGTCCACACACACACATAATTAACTACAAACAAAAAAAGCACACAAACAGCATACGGCAATTCCCCTGAGGTAATTTTCTGTGCTTCATTCAGAGGGGTGGATAAACTGAGATATGGGATAATGTGTAATGCAGGGGCGAAAGTAACACCGCAAAGAGGCTACATGCATGACAATATGTGTGTGCGTATGAATGTAGGATCTACGCCTGTGGAGTTCTTGAGGAAACATCTCGGGCAGTGAAAGTTTGCAGCAAGCAGAAAGGGAAGAAGAGGAGGGATTCGGGGTTGTGAAGCTGGCCAAGCGCGCAGCTCCTGGGGAGATGTGAAATGTTTTTGAAGCCATGGTGGAAGCACAAATAGATTAATAGATCTCTATTAAAACAAACAAAAGTAAATAATCTTACATATTATATAGTACTTCATCAGTAGCAGCAGACTGGATAAAAAAATATATATATGGCAGTGTTTTTCCTCTCTCTCTCTTTCAATATAACGCACAACCCACTACTCCCATTTAAATGCTTAGGCCGCTTTATTAGGTACACCTTGCCCTTACTTTTACTTTCAGAAATGCCTTAATTCTTCAAAGCAGATTAAATGAGCTGCTGGAAACAGTGATCAGAGATTTTGCTCCATGTTGACATAAGAGCATCACATAGTTCCTGCAGATTTTTTTTTTGGCTGCACACCCATGATGTGATTCTCTCCCAAAGCTGCACTATTGGATTCGGATCTGGTGACTGTGGAGGCCATCTGAGTGCAGCGCAGTGAAGTCATTATCATGTCCAAGAAACCAATTTTAGATTGTTTAACCTTTGCGACATGGTGTGTTATTCTGTTGGAAGCAGTGATCAGATGATGGGTTCACTGTGGTCA